GGATGGCAAGTTAGAGCTCATCCTGAGCAATTTATCAACTTAGGAAAATATTGTCTGAAAATAAAAAATATGAAAAGTGGTTGGGGAGATAGGTCAATGTGAAGGTTCTGGCTTCAATTCTCAATACCACAAAAGAAACAAACCAAAGCCACCACATTACATGATACTCTGCTTACGTGTACAATTTATATATTTTCATGTGTCAGGTAAAAAACAAATTTAGAGCCAGTGTGGAATGCTTATAATCCTGGGAGGCTGAGGCAGGAAGATCATAAGTTCTAGCCCTACTTGAACAACATACATAATTAGTGAGCCTTGCCTGAAAATGAAAAAGAAGAGACAGAAGAAAATCGCTAAGTTTGTAGTTAAAAGGCCCTGGTTCCAGTCTTCAGTGCCACACACAACACAAGTAAATTGGCAAACGTTATGAAGAAACGTTTCACAAAAGAGATTCTACAGATAGCAGATCAGCATAGATAGCACTATCAGTAGCTATCAGTGAAACACAAAACCACAGTGAACGATCAGTCCACACACATCAGAATGACAGAAATGAAATATTGTGACACTCCAAATGCTGAGGAGGACAAACAAAACAAACAAAAACACTATATCACTTTTTGTTTCCTGTACTAGGGACTGAGTCCAGGGACTGCTGATCTCGGTCCCATGTCATTTTTTCTCCTGCCTCAGCCTCCTTAGTAGCTGGGATCACAGGTTTGTACCACTACATCTGGCTTTTTGTTATTGCTGTTGTTGACTTTGGTTAGTTTATGTATGCAGTACATAAGGATTACATTCTTTGTGGGGAGTTGGTATATGGACATAACACAGCTCTCTTCTTTTTTGCCCCCTTTCCCTCTGTCTTCCCCCATTCTCCATCTCTCAATCCCCTATTTGGAATTCTGTCTCCTATTTTCCTTTTGTGTTTTACTTTGCTTTCTATTTATATTGTGAGTTTCCCTTATAAAGAGAAACCACATGATATTTAAGTTGTCTATCTGGTGATTTCACTTAACATTACAGTTTCAAGGTATATCCGTTTTCCTGCAAATGATTCAACTTCATCCTTCTTTATTGCCTCGTACACCACTGTGTAGTTTTCTAATTGAATTGTTTCTTTTTACATTCTTGGGTTTGAAAATTTTCTCCCACAAAGGTATGGTGACTTATCTCTGTAATTATAGAACTCTGAGGCTGAGGCAGTAGGATCATAAGGTCAAACCCAGCCTGGGTAGTTTAGCAACTTAGCAAGACCCTGTCTCAATAAAAGGGAGTTTGGGGTAGGAATGTAGCTCAGTGGGAAGGCCCTGGCTTCACTTCCCAGTACCACAAAACTGCAATAAAAGAAGAGTAAATAGGGAGGGAGGGAGAGAGGGAGGGAGGGAGAGAGGGAGGGAGGGAAAAAGGGAAAAGGGGAAAGAGAGAGGGACAGTAAGTTGGCAAAAAATATGAAAAGACATTTCACCAAAAGGATATGCAGATAAGTACATGAAATGATATTCACTGTCACTAGCTGTTATGAAATAAAAGTTTAGACTGCACTTAAATACCAGTGCACACCTATTACGAATAGGGTGGCTAGAATGAAATACAGTGACACCTGAAACACTGGTAAGGACATGCAGAAACTTAATCGGTCTGCATTTGTTTTGTTTTCTACTCTGGGGTTTGAGAGCTCATGTGGAGGTTCTGGTAGGGGAGCACAGCTACTCATATACCCTCCTCTCTCCGGGATGGTTGTCCTCTTCCACCAAGCTTGCAGCTTGGGGAGGGATGCACAGGGAGCATTGAGAGGGGAAGAGGACACCCACCTAACCAACCAGATCCGCCGACTCAACCCTGGCTATCCGTGGGATGAGAAACGGCCATATCACCCGCACATCCTATGCTGAGGTTTGAACCCAGGCAGTGGTGAGCTATATCGCTAGTCCTTTCTTCCTCCTGCCTCAGCCTCCTGAGCAGCTAGGATTACAGTTATGTGCCACCATGCCTGACACAGTTGATACATATTAAAGAAAGTACTCCACAGTAACAGTCTCTGATAATTTTCCAAAAAATTAAAGAATAAAATTTAAAAATAAAATGAAAACAGGAAGTCAGTGAGGAAATGTAAAAGGGGGTAAAGAGACCTCCTATTATTGAAAACAGATCCCCACCACCCATCGTCCAGCAGCCTCATTCCTCCTCATGTTTCTTTTATTTTTTATTTTAAAAATAGTAAAATCCAACAAAACAAAGCCAGTCAAAACAATGCAACAGAATTGGTACAGAACTTCAAAGCAGGATGCCAGGAAAATGATAATAGGTTCCACAGTGTATCTTGTTATCTTCACAGTAGTTGTCCATTCCATCAGGTATAGAAAAATCAAACCAAAAACAAAACACAATAAAACCAATCAAAACAGAATATTGAATAAAGCAAAACAATCAGAACAAAGCAAAACAATGTGAACAATATTGGACTTCAACAACAAGATAGAAGGAAATCCCCCATATTTGCTATATTGCACACTGTCATCCTCCCAAGAGATATTCAGACCTCTGGCCCCAGGCCTTCTGCATAATCAACCAGAAAATACATTTAGTTGTTTTATGTATCTTAGTTACTATCAAGTCTGGCTGACCTCAAAACCATCGGTTGCTTTAGATGATATGGATGGTATTTGATTCTCAGCCCGCATGCTGGTAGGCTCACACAGCGCTATCTTTTCTCTCCCTGGAACTTGTGTGGCTTGTGCAGCTTACCAGGAAGGCTGGCTAGTTGATTTCTTGGTTGGTCCTCCAAGTCCCAGCATGGCCTATTCTCCCTCATCATGTCTTCACACTGTCCTTGCCCCAGAGACTTCAGTCTCACTCTCACAGGCAGCAATCACAGCCTGTGAATTGAGCTTAGCACTGAGCCCACAGACCAACCAGAACACCCACCAGCCCAGCATGGCTCATCTACAGCCCCTCATTCCTTACCACAGGACTCCTCAGATGCCTCAGACTCTTCACTAATCACACAGGGTCTCAGAGCTGACCCCATGCCTTGAGCACCCCTAGGCAGACCACTCAGTCACTCACCCCATGCCCCCTTCACTCTCTCCAGACTCCTCACTTAACTCGGGTACCCTCTGTGTTTTACCCCAGAGCACTGCACTCTACACAATCTGTAGCATTACTCATCACACAGATACCCCATAAATCACCACAGAGAGCCCATTCTTCACCCCATAGGTCCTCAGCACTTACCCCACAGAATTCAGCTGCTCAGCCCACAGACTCCTGCCCCACACACACTCCATCACTGTAGACTTCACACCTCTCACCCCAATAACCTCACACACTTTCTTCAGTCACATGGACTTCACTCATTTCCCTCCCTAGGGGTCCTGTAGGGTGGAGAACATGGCTTGTTTGGGTGACTGCTAGGGACAGGGGTGCTATTAGGGTAACTCTTACTTGGTGCTACAGATGAAAACGCCCTCTGCCATCAGGGCTTGGGGTCCTCTATAGCTCAAAGATAGATAACTAGGAGACACAGAGACAAGCAAGCATCCATATGATAAGGAAACATCTCTCTGTATCTGCAAGTGCTGAATCTGTGGATCTGACCAATTGCACATCAAAAATATCTGAAGAATTTTGCTTGGAACTGAGATTGTGCTCAGTGGTACAGTGATTGCCTAGGACCCAGGAGGGATTCAGTGTCCCAATACCAAAAAATCATAATAATTAATTTTGGTTTGTACTGAATATGTACACTTTTTTCTTTGTGTGTGTGTGTTTGTTTACAGTATTGTCAATTATATGTGTTGCAAATGTTTGTTCTCAGTTTTTGGATTGTCTTTTCACTTTGAAATTGATTTTTGTGCATGGTGTTTTGCTTTGTTTTGGTGTTACTGGGGAATGAACCCAGGGTCTTGTGCATGCTAGACAAGTGCTCTACCACTGAGCTACATCCACAGAGCTGTTTGTTTTTAAGGCAAGGTTTTGCCATATTGCCCAGGCTGGCCTTGAAGTCCTGGGCTTCAGTGATCCTCTCATCTCAGCTTACCACACAGCTGGGACAACAGGCAGGCACCACCATGTGTGGGCCAGACCTTATCCTTATTATACTCTAAGCAACATTGTGTAACAACTACTTCCATAGATTACATTGTATTAGATGTTATACATGATCTGCAGATGATTTTCAAGTTCATGGAAGAGTGTGGATAAGGTTCCGTGTAAATGTAGGACCATTAGATAGGAAAGATTTGAGCATTCATGGACTATGTAATCTGCAGGAGATCCCAGAAGCAATTATCATTGAGTACTGAAGGATGACTGTATGTTCACAGCTGCAGAAAGATACACAGTCATTACTACATGTGGCCAAATCATAGTAGACAGAGTATGTGAATACATTTCTGTTTCTGGTGTACATGTATAGTGAATTTTTAAAATTTTATTTAAGTTTATTGAATAGTTTAGGTACACATAATGATCACACTCATTATACAGAATTTGTGTTTATACATGATACGTTTTGATTCCTCTTTTTTCCCCATTCCTATCCCCTCCTTTCAAATTCCCTTCCCATTCCTGTTCACAAAACTGTTTTCATTTTATGCATCTTTTTTGATATTTTTCTTTCCTTTCTTTTTCCTTACTGAAAATTTTTGCACAGCAAAAGAAATCACCAAAAGATAAAATAAAAAGACAACCCACACAGTGAGGAAAACAATTTTACCAGCTATTTGTCAAAGGGCTAATACTTAAAACATATAAAGTAACATTTCAATTACTTGTCTCTTGTAGGAGCCAAGCGACTGCTCATTGCTGCCTCCCTGCCTCTCTCTCTCCTATGGGCACTGCGTCTGCCTACATTAACCATAATCCTCTCCTGCTTACGTCACATACCCGGACGTGACGGTGACCCTGTTGTATTCATCCCCATAGCCTCTTCCTGTCCCACCAGCCCACCCTTGGCCTATAAAAGATGTAATCACTTCCGGAATAAACGGGGGGGGGGGGGGCTTGATCAGATTCTCTCAACTTGCTTCCATCTCTCTTTGTCTCCCCTATGTCTTTATTTAATCCCTGTTCTGCCTCCAGGTACACCCCACAGATTGATTCGCAGGCCTGATCAAGTGGTGCCCAGCGTGGGGGCTCCTGACACGGAGGAGTCAACGAGGGAGCCGTTCGAGACAGCTGGCTTAAAGTGAAAGCAAATTGAACCAGAGATCGCGGCGAAAACTGAGCAAACTGAATCAAAGATTAAAGCTAAAAGTGACAGGAAATTAAATCAAGTACTGAGGCCTGCGCAGACAACTACCCAACGTCCTGCCCGAGTCACGGTGTGTGAACGGCCACCCTATTCCCTTTCCCGGACATGGGTCAAGCATTGAACGAACACAAATTGTTCATGGGAGGCCTTATAAAGACATTAAAGACAAGAGAGGTAAGGGTTAGAACAAAAGAATTACTGCAGTGTTTTCAATTTATTCATAAGGTTTGCCCCTGATTCCCCCTAGAGGGTTCTATAGATACCAAGAGGTGGAATAGAGTAAGAGATGCTTTAAAAGATTATTATAGAGTTTTCGGTCCAGAAAAGGTTCCAGTGACCACCTTTGCATATTGGAATTTAATCTCTGAGCTGCTTGCCCAGAGGCATGCAGATCCTCAGATTGAGGAGACGGTCGCAAAAGGTGCTCCGAGCTGCTCAGCCTTACAGTGCTTCTAAGATAGCGCCTGCCTCTGGCAAGCCTCGTGGCCCTCTTAAAATGGTGCTTATTTCACTTCCGCCACATCAGCGTGGGTCCCTCCCTGAAATTGCGTTTCCAGTGATGGAAACAAACGTACCTCCCCAAGATGACACCGCACAGCCACAAGACAGTGCGGGCACTGCACCGCTAGCTCCACGAGTCATTAGGACACATACGCCATTCACAGTGGCAGCTTTAAGAGAATTAAAGGCAGCAGTTGCCCAATATGGCCTTACAGCTGCTTTCATTCTTGCTGTTTTAAATTCTCTGGCTGACGGCTGGCTCACACCTACAGATTGGCAAAGATTGACCCGAGTGACTATCGGTTGGGGATAATTTTTTGTAAAAATCAGAATATACAAAAAATTGCAAAGAGACCGCCAGGCACAATACACAAGCCGGCAATAGGTGAGACCTTAATATGTTAATAGTAGAAGATGCCTATGCATGCAGAAAGGCTCAAAAAGAGTTTAATCCAGGGCTGGGGATTTAGCTCAGCGGCATAAGTGCCTGCGGTGCAAGCAGGTGGTTGTGAGTTTGATCCCCTGTACCAATAAAAAGGAAAAAGACAAAAAAAAAGAGTTTAATCCAAAACTTTTCACTCAAATTCAAACAGCAGCTACTTGAGCATGGAGAAAGCTGCCTGCAAAAGATAATATGAGCTCCTCTCTCACTAGCATTAAGCAAGGCCCAGATAAACCCTTTTCAGAGTTTGTTGATTGTTTGATTGCTGCTGCTAGTGGAGTCTTTGGCCATGCTAATGCAGGCACTGATTTTGTTGAACAGTGGGCTTTTAAAGGCACCGCACCATCTGCCAGGCTGCTATCAGACCTTGTAAAAATAAAACAGGCCTATCAGGATATATACACCTTTGCTGTGGCATTGGAGCTGCTTGTTAGCGGGGCCTTGGTGTCGCTGCTGCCTTGCAGGGGTTTACAGTTAAACAGTTGTTATCTTAAAAGCATAAACAAAAGTGTTTTACCTGTAGAGAGACTGGTCATTTTGCAAAAAAGACTCCAGAGATAGAGATTCCAATGTCAATTACTTTGACTCATTTAACTGATCAGAGTGATATTGGTCTAGTCTCTTAAGTTTAATTTCAGCATATGTAAGGATGGGGACAAATGCTAAAAGGAGAATGAGAGACACTATGGTAGTTATTATTGTCTTCCCCAATGTCATATCTTGAAAACCTAAGGAGCCTTCATCATCCTGTAATGATTTGATTAGTTCTATAATATGCAGTATGTATTTAATGTGCATAAAGATGGGCACAACTGTTTGGAGGAAACTAGAGACAATTTAGTAAATGGTGGAGATCTACAGTGGACTTGCTTTGAAATCTGTATTTCTTTAAATCTTTTAACTGTTTTGTTCTGTTTTGATATGTTTGGTATTGCCCTCTTTGAGATGGGAAACAAGTGTGTGGGACTGATAACCATATTACTAAGTTTTTGTTGGATCATTGAGCAGAACTATTGGCAATGTCACTGCTTGGATGTTACTTTACATGCTTTAATTTTGTAACCTGGACAGCTGTTTCTGGGATGACAATGTGTAACTTATCAACTGTTGATTTCTTACCATTTATTTTTCTGTAATTCTATATTAAGATCACTAGAAAACAAGCCAGACAGATACTAAAAAATTGCCTTTCTTGTGAAATGCACCTCCCAATTCCACACTTTGGGGTTAATCCTAGGGAACTTATCCTCAATGCATTATGGCAAATGGATGTCACCCACATTCCTGAGTTTGGCAATCTTAAAAATGTTCATGCAACTATAAATATCTTTAGTGGTTACATTTATACCTCTCCCCAGACTGGCAAAGCTACCAAACGTTATTAGCCATATGTTAACTACCTTATCAGTTCTGAGATGCCCACAACAATTACATACTGATAATGGCCCACGCTATGCTAATTCTGCCTTTGCTCATTTCTGTTAACATCTTAATATTGATCATATAAAAGGCATACCTTATAACTCTCAAGGTCAAGGCATAGTTAAAAGGGCACATCTCTCCCTAAAACTCACTGTTGATAAGATAAAAAAGGGGGGAATGGTATTCCACAAGGAGGACACCTAAAAATATTCTATCTCATCCCTTATTCATCCTTAATTTTTTAAATTTGGATTCTGCTGGACAGTCAGCAGCCATGCGTTTTTGGCATTCTGAAACACAAAAGCAATTTGCTTCTGTACTATGGCGAGACGCCCTGACTAATTCATGGCATGTCCCTGATCCCATTCTCATATGGGGACGAGGTTCAGTGTGTGTTTACTCTCAACAAGATAGAGAAGCTAGATGGCTACCTGAGTGCCTCATAAAACAAGTAGACAGTTCTTCAAAAACCCCATGTGACGCCCAGGAATAATGTCATTTCCTGAGGCACAATCCCCTGTGTTCTCTTACAGGTGACAAAACCCCCCAGAGCCCTATGCTGCCTACTCAGCCTTCTCCTTGAGCCATACCACACCCATGGTGGATTTAGACCCCTGCCAAACAGACTACAAGTGCTGACAGCCATGCACACACCCCCCTGTGACTACGGAAGAGGCTCTTCTCGGTCTGGAGGAACATAAACCAGCCAAATAGATTGCATCCAGTGTTATGCGAGGCAAGCTCCAAGACATAGGAGAACGACTTCAACAGAGACACCAACAAATGGCTGCCAACCCCTTCTCCTAGATATGTGGGGGGGGAGCTTTTCCCTTACCTAGCACCCCTTTTGGGTCCCCTAGCTGCCCTATTGCTTCTCCTTTCTGTGAGTCCTTGTATTTTTCAGAGGATTATGATGTTCATTAATAACCGGATAGACACATTTATGGCAAAGCCCATTCAGGTACACTATCATCAGCTGGAGATGGCAGATCAACAAACCTACCGGGAAGGAATTCCCACAAGTGGCCCATATGATGATGCGGCCTAACTGCCCTGGGGCAATGGACAGGCAGTCAGAGACGGGCAACTAGGACATGCATGTTAATTCCAACGGCAACCTAAGACAGGCACAGGACCAACTGTTGTTCTGCAAGCCCATGACGGGTAACGCCTGGTTGGGTTCATGCAATGAGGTCCTTGACCTAAGACAGATGCTGTCCGGCAGGGCCTGCCATACTCCTGATTAAATAATATAGAAAGGGAGGAGATGTAGGGAGCCGAGTGACAGCCCATTGCTGCCTCCCTGCCTCTCCCTCTCCTATGGGGACTGCGTCTGCCTACATTAACCATAATCCTCTCCTGCTTACGTCACATATCTGGATGTGATGGCGACCCTGTTGTATTCATCCCCATAGCCTCTTCCTGTCCCACCTCCCACCCTTGGCCTATAAAAGATGTGATCACTTCCGGAATAAATGGGGGGCTTGATCAGATTCTCTCGACTTGCTTCCATCTCTCTTTGTCTCCCCTATGTCTTTATTTAATCCCCATTCCGCCTCCAGGTACAACCCACAGATTGATCCACAGGCCGGATCAGTCTCTACATGGATCTTTCTCCTCCACTCCACCCTTTGTCCTAATACTGGGGATGGGGTATAGTGTATTTCCTCTGAGATACATTCTCAGCCCTTTTTTTTTTTTTTAATTTTGAGACAGAGTCTCACTAAGTCACTAACTTCCCCATCCTAGTCTGGAACTTGCTATCTTCCTGCTTCAGCTTCCCAAATGCTAGGATTATAGGTGATTCCCACCATGCCCAGTAGGTCTTTCTAAATATAGGCAATGTGGGTATATATGAGGTATTTAGATATTATGTGATTTAATATGTTTGTGTAATAAAATATATTTATTATAAATAAAATAAATGAAGCTAGACATAGCAGCACACACCTGAAATCCTAGAATTCTGGGAGGCTGAGACAGGAGAGTTCCAAATTGGAACCTAGCCTAGACGACTCAGGTTGGAAACCTGGTCCCAAAATAAGGTTAAAAATTGCTAGAGGTGTAACAGTGTGAAGGTCCTCAGTTCAATCTGAATAACAAAGGGGGAGAGGTGTAAAAACATACACAAACAAGACAAAAATTTTAAAACCGAAGTACAAACAAGCTGTAGTATGTCCATGTATCCACCCCCAAGATGATTATAAACTGCATATACTACAAACATATACTAACAATTTTTTAAAGTTAAAAAAACAAGGAATGGACCAGGGATATAGCTCACTGGCACAGTGTCTGCCTGGCAAATGCGAGGTATGTCATGAGATTGAGTCCCAGAACAAAAAAAAAAAAAAAAAAAAAAAAAAACAAGAAATGGACTGTGTTTAGTATTACAGCTCTTAGAAGAATGTTTACATTTTGTTATTTATTTTTATTGCTGGTAACTGAACCAGGACCTCACACATGGTAGACAAGTGCTCTGCCACTGAACTATACACCCAACCAGACATTTTTCTCTTTTAATTGATCATGCAGCTTAATAGGTTTCATTTTCGCAAATTCATACACGCGTAACACACTTTGATCATTTCCGTTGCCCATGTGCATCTTCCCTCCAGTTCCACATTTTGGGAAAGTTAATGCATATAATTTGCTCAGATCCATCCCCTGTATTATCCACCTTTGCACACCTTCTCCCTTATCCCCTTCTCTTGTCTAATAATAGCCTCCCTTCTACATTGTCATCTTTTATTCGGAATCCACATATTGGGGCGAATCTGTAATGCTTGGCTTTCTGAGTCTGGAGTATTTCACTCAGCAAGATGATGTCAACCCATCCATCCATTTTCCTGAAAGTGACAGAATTAAGTTCTTATAGCTAATACTGCATTGTACATGTAAGGACCGCGTTTTCCATATCCATTCATCTGTTGATGCACATGTAAACTGGTTCCATATCTTGGCTGTTGTGAATTGTGCTCAATAAATATGGGTATGCAGCTACCCTGTGGTACACTGACTTCAACATCTGAGGTGACTATCTGCTTAGATTTTTTTTTTAGGAAGCCCCCTACTGACTTGTAGTGTTTGTACTAGTTTCCATGTTCACCATCAGTGTAGATTGTTTTTCCCCCTTCACATTGCCTGCATTCTTGCCAGCGTTTGCTTTTTATATTCTTCATAAAAGCCATTATGCCTGGGGTAAGAGAGAATCTCAGTGTCACTACAATTTGCATTTTCCTCAGGGCTAAAGATTTTGAGTATTTTCACATGTTTATTAGATATTTGCACTTCTTGTTTTAAGCGTTTGATAAATTCATTTGCCCATTTATGGTTTATTTTTTATTTTTTCCTGTTAAATTTTTTGAGTTCTTTATATATTCTAGATTAATTATTAATCCTCTGTTTGAACAGTAGCTAGGAAAGATTTTCTTCCACTCCCCAGGCTGTCTCTTTACCTTCTGAGTTGCTTTCATTGTTGTGTTAACTTTTAATTTGATATAGTCTCATTACATTTTTGTTTGTTTGTTTTCCTTGTTTGGGTTTGTTTTTTTGAGACAGATTCTCGCTGTGTACTCCAAACTGATGAACTCTCAGTGATTTTCCTGCTCCCAAGGGCTAGAATTACAGGTGTGCTCCACCACATTTGGTTTATTAGTTCTTTCTTGCTATTATTTCCTGTGCTATTGGAGTTCTGTTGCAGAAATTTTTCTTTGTGCCTATGCTTTCAATATTTTGAACCTTTCAAATGCTTTCAATATTTTCACCCTTTCAGGCCAAGAGCTGAGTTAAGCAACATAAACACCTGCCTGGCAAGTGTGAGGCCATGAGTTCCATCCCTGGTACCAAAAGAAAAAGAAAAAACAATATTTTCACTCTTTCAAGCGCATGCATTATGTCCATGCAGTGCCACACACAGGCTCAGCCAGTATTTCTTCAAATACTTTTTCATGTGTATATTCTTTCCACACAGACATCTGGGAGTCCAGTGACAAACTTTTGATTTTCCTTATTACCCTATAAGCCTATTTTCTATCTTCCAGGGCACTTCTTTTCGGACATAGACGTTCTGCCTTGAGCTTTTCTTATGGGATTTAAATTTCATTTCTATCTGCACTATTTCAACTTGATTTGTTTCTTATATCTTCAGAAGGGTGAGATTTCTTCTTTCTTCATTTTTTCAGTTCATTTGTATCTCTTCATTAAACCACATTAATTATACTATTTTGAGAAAGGATATTGCTATATATATCAGGGTGGTCTTGAACTCACTACATAGTATACATATATATTTCAGGCTGATCTTGAAATCACTATTGCTTTCAAACTCATGGCAATCCTCCAGCATCAGCATCCTGAGTTACGGGACTTCAGGTGCGACCTACCTTGCCCATCTGATCATGATACTTAAAATACTTCCCAGATCATTCCAGCACCTACTTCATCTTGCTATTGGATTCTGCTTGTCTTTTTAAAGTCACGGTGTGTTTTTTCTGGGTTTGGGTATGGCCTGTGATTTCTTTTTATCCTGAACATTTTGTCTATAATAGTAGGACACTCAGGATCCTATTTAAAGCTTCTGCTCAAGCTGACAGTCACGTTATCTGGGTTTTTAGGTTTAGCGGGCAGGTCCTGACCTTCTGGGGCTATGATTACAAAGGCAATGTGGGTTTCAGAGACCACACAGCGTGCTTCTGTGCTGCTTGCTTTGCCAGGTGCCACTCAGCTTTGTTGGTGCCAAGGGTGCACATTATTTCCCTGGTCCCCTCCGGTACTCCTGCGGGGGTTGTGGATGTGGGGCTGGGATCCACCATGTTTTTCATTGCCCAGGGCCTGGGAGCCTCCTGCTCCCCCTTCGCTGGAGCCACCATTGGGGTATAAAGTGTTTCTAGGGCCTGTAAGGGACGTGCAGGGTGTGTGTGTGTGTGTGTGTGTGTGTGTGTGTGTGTGTGTGTTACTGGCAATCAAACTCATGGCCTCACACGTGACAGCCAAGTACCTACATCCTCATTTGATTTCATTTTACTTTATTTTTAGACCCCCTCTTGCTAAATTACCTGTGCTGGCCTCAAACATGTGACTCTCCTGCCTCAGCCTTCTGAGTAACTGGGATTACAGGCATTCACCACCACACCAGCTTTATTTTAATCACTCCTTGAGCTTGGGGTATAGCTCAGTGGTAGAGGACTTGCACAGTGTGCACAAAAGCCCTGGGTTCAATTTCTGGCACAATAAAAATAACATACTTCCACCTTTCTTAGGTTTCTGCTTCATGCAATGAGCTTGTCCCCTTCCTCGCACCCCTTGATGGCCTTCTCATTGTGCGCTGTTCTACAATGTTTGCTCTTGCTGCCCTGGGGATTGCACCCAGCACTTCCTGCCTGCTAGGCAAGTACTGCACCACTGAGCTACATTCCCACCAACTTTATTATTTATGGTGGGAACAGCTAAATTAGCTACATTGCCTGCTGGCCTCGAACGTGCAAACGTGCCTTCCTCCTTCAGAGTGGCTGGCATTACGGCCATGTTGTATGGCACCACACCTAGCTCCCACAGATTCTGTTCAATTGTGACATTTCTCCTCTGGGGCCATTGCATATATCCAGAGAAGTATTATGTATGCCTGAAACCTCTCTCCTCAGAGTGCTTGTAGCAGCCTCAGTTCAGGTCACTGGGGTGCATGAATCTGTCCAGTAAAACATGACAGAGTTTGAACGGGGACCAGCCATGGAGAGGCCCTATTGACAGCCTCCAAAGATGTCCTATGCAGACAATGCATTTGTCAGGACCAGGCAGGGCCAGCATCCTGTGCAACAGTCTTTAATCATGAGAGCAATGGGCCAATTCTTTTCCCCCTTCTGTCTTAGTCACTTTTCTCGTTGCTGAGACAAAATGCCTGGTGCATGAGATTAAAGGAAGAAAGGTTTATTGCAGCTCACAGTTTGTAGAGGCTTCAGTCCATAGCCAGTCGGTTCCAAAGCAGGGCAGCAGGGCAGCAGGGCAGCAGGGCAGCAGGCAGAGGAGAAACAGCTCATGTCGTGGCAGGCACAGAGGCAGCAAGCAGCCGCGACAGCCAAAGCAGCCAAAGCAGCCAAAGCAGGAGCAGCAGTGGAGCCCCAGCCTGCCTTCTTTCTGTGCTCTCATGTCCAGGTTACCAGTTTATTAGTAGGGGCCACCCACTCCCAGGGCGGGGCTTCTGTTATACACACCCTTGATCCCACTGTCACGCCCTTAATCCTCATCCATGCACCCTCGATCCAGCAACCTGCCAGAGGCCCCATCTATGAGAGCATGAGGCTCTTGGGGACATCCAGACCCAAGCCATAGCACCTCTGTCCTTAGGATCGAGCCAGGGGTATCCCCACTGAGTTAACTCCCAGCCCTTTATATTCTGAGACACAGCCTCATGAAGTTACTCAGATAGCTCTCGGTCTTGGGAGCCTCCTGTATTAGCCTCCAGAGTGCTGGGCTGAGAGGTGGGTGCCATCTCGCC